TTTGTAGGATAGTGCAAGTCAGGAAAGGGTTGATCGAATGAAATGTTAATTATCTGGCACAGTTAGTCAAGTATTAAGATTTGTTTTATTGCAGGACTTATTTTTAACGACCTACCGCTAGCCTTTACCGTAACTGTCTTCATAATTTAAGAAAAATCTACACAGTTTCACATTGCCGAGACAAGAAACGTGGCATACAAATTCATTCATGCGTATAAAATTTCAATGAATTCATGCATTACCATAGTGATTATACATTGTTACCCACTATCTGATACTTATCCAATGTTAAAAATAGCCTAGTTTATTCATGCGGATCAATCTAGTTTAGACTTAATTTTATTGAAATTTACAAAAACGTAAAGAATAAAAAAAATTAATCCAGAAATGTTTATTTTTCAATAAGACACAAACCGTGGGATGGAATTAAAAAACAATTTTAAACTAGAAATTAAAGTCTACTTTTAGAAGTGTTTCTCTAAACACCACAGGACAGAATAAATTCAATATCCGTCGTTTGAAGTTAAAAAAAAAAAAAAAAAAAAAAAAAAAAAAAAAAAAAAAAAAGTCTTTTGCGGTAATTTACCAAATTCTTTGAAATTTGCTTCTTCTGTCTGGCACAATGTCATGACTAATACAAAAACAAACTTTCGATCACATTTAATTTCGTTTAATGATCTTCGAAGACTAAAGACTGGGTTATTTTAAGAAAAATAAGGGGGGGGATTTGTTTTTACCTAAAAATTGAGTTTTTTTTTATTATAGAAAAACAAAAAAAAAAAAAAAAAAATTACCCGACCTCTGGGATAAACGTGGATATACAATTCAGAAGTTGTTTTTATCTTAAAAAAATTTTTAAAAAAGTCAGCAACTGAAAGTTAAATGGTGACAAAGTATTTTTTTTTAATTACTTTGTTAGCTAATTATTAATAAAATTATTGTACAATGTACAATAATTCATTGTACATGGCTGCAAGTGTGAGAATCTGGACAAATCTAGTATCCTTTCTTATAGCGGTCAGTCAACAATTGTAAAGTGACTAAAACCAATTAATTGCATGATGGCTATGATCATCTATTTTTATAACATCACAATTCAAGGTAGTTCGATTACTAATTGTACGCAACACACAATAGTTCAACTTAACCGCGGGCGATGTGCAAAGACCAAAAAGCAAGAAACCGGATAGTACAAAAAAGTAGTAACAAAAGTAAAATTGAGCACGACTAGTAGGGAACTACTAAAAACATTTCCCATTTGTTTGATAAACCATTTTTTTATTACAACTTCGAAATATTATCGATACTAAAACAAGTATTACTAATCTGCGGATTTCGGGACTATTAAACTTACGAATCATTTTTCTGAGGGTGACCGCGGATAACAGGGGGGGGGCACCACTGTATGTAGAAGTTTGAAAATACAGATTACAGAGAAATGGTGTTGTATATAGGAACTACGACCAGAATTTTGTTTCAAAACATTCCAGATCAAAGAAAAGTATAAAAATCTTATTCTAAGTTTGCTTTGTAAAAACTCATTTTTGAAGGATCACCCTATGGAAGCCAAAACAATGCTCATCTCATACAACGTTAATTTTTAATAAATTTAATGAAATTATATCTGGATTCAGGAGTTATTTTTCTTTCTCGTCATCGATTTTTAAAATTACTATAAATTTCAGAAGAAATTTGATTTTATTTTCATATATGTCATGAGCATATTTGTTTTGGCTTCCGTAGAACTAGGATCAGTTTACTTACATTTACAAATAAATTTAATGTTTTTTCGATATTAGTGAGTAAGTGAACCTTATTCATTTACTAAATTACAAAAATTATTTTTTTAAAGAATTATTCAATGTGAAAATGATAGTGTAATTTACTTTGACAAAACCAATTATTTTTTTTAGCTATAATTAGATGAGAAAAGGTGGGGCTGTTTAAGTTTTTGTCAGTTTCTAAAAAGGAAACAATTGTGAAAGAGAAAGACAATCTATCACTATGTAACTAAAGAAAAAGCAGTAGACTGTTTTTAAACACTTTGAAACTTCGGTAATGGCAAGATGATCAAATTTAAAGTTTGTCCATAAAAAAAAAAAAAAAAATAAAAAAAAAAATACTGATTTATTAGAAAATATATTCAGTTTTCATGTACAGATGGCGTCAAAATCGATTTCGGTTTAAAATACGTACTCCTTTCCTTTTAGCCAGGGGTTGTTGCCAGACTGAGAGAATTTAATTTTAACCCACGCAACACAGTTGTTCACATTGTTTGTGTATATTTGCGTGTGAATATGTAAATTCGATGACAAACCTAAAAATATATTTCTAAAAAAATCTGAAAAGATCAATAAATCTTGTTCTTGTATCAGTTTTTTTCGTTTATATTTTATTTTTAGTTAAGAATTTTTTTGTCTCCAACTTTATTCTATTGTTCAGACTAAGGTAGGAGCTGTCCAAGCTGGGTGGGTGTAGAGAGTAAGTGTAACATTGTAATGTGGGTGGGTGTTAAATGGCACAAGGACATTTAATTTATGTTGAGAACAGTTGCAATGTGTGCTGGACAGACAATCTCCTTTTTTTATAGAAAATTGTAAATTTAAATTGTTTTATGTAGTGGTGGGGAACTAAAACTGGACCCATTTTTTTAAAATCTTTTACGAAAGTAAAATTTTTCGATATTCGTAATCGGGGGGGGGGTACATAAAACAACCCTATTCATTCACTATTCAATTAGTCTAGCGTTCCTATAAAAAAAAAAAAAAATAGTTGGAACCAGGAAATATGCAAGCTTTAAAAATAAAAAAGTCATGTGTGTTGTCAGTTTTTGTTTTTGATAATGTATCCGACCAGGACAAGTAAAATTAGCTACAACTTTTAAATTAAGTTTAACTTTTTAAATTAGAAATTTTCTGCTCGAATATGCCGCATAACTTTTAGGAGAGTTTCCGATGTAAATTGAGCCGAGTCTCTTAGGAAAAAATATCCGAGTTAGACACTACTAGTGAATAGGTTAATGCCTATATAAGGAAGCCAAAACCAAAACCCAGCCGACCTGAACACTCCCTTCCCTACGTTCCATTTTGTTTGACATTCCAAGGTTTTACCAATCGGCACTTGAGATGGTTTGGCTCAGTGATTTAAGCAAGGGAATCTAAGCATAGAGATTCAGAGCTGCATCATCCTATAACAAGACAAGCAGGGTGATACTTCCTTTTTATCTGATAATCTTGAAAAAAATAAAAAAAGAGCAAGTTTTTAACGATAACTAATGTATGTCTACTACAAACTTTTTTGTTATCATTTTATACTTTTGCAGTTTTGCTTTTCACTTCATTTTCTGGAATTAGAAAACTTCCAGACTTCTAGAAGAGGGTACTTCGGAAAAAAAAGGAAGTGAAATAAAATGTACAGTTTAAAAACTTGAAAATTAATGATTCTTGAATTATTTTTTTAGTTGTGCAATGCCACTCGTTCTTAACTTAATTCTTGTCCGTTTATGGTTCTGTGTTTTTCTTCATAACACAGTGAGTGACCCCCTTGTGTTTTAGTGGCTTTTATTGCCTTGCTTGGGGCGAAATAAATCTGAAAGTTTAAAAATTGTGATTCAGTTCTGAAGTTAAACGAAAAAGAGCTATTTTTTAATAGAAAAACCTTTCCAACAATTTTTTTTTTTTTGTGGCGGCGGGGTTGGAAGCAACATCGATAAAACTGTTTATCGATGTTTATCATAAACACCATATTATGAATATAAGACTATTTTCTAGTTTTTCTTAGTTTAAAATAAATGGATGCCACTTACTACACAAATTGATTGACTTTATTCGATAGTAGAAAAAAAAAAAATACAAGTTCTTTGTGGAGAGGTAAGTTTCTGAAGGGAAGAGTTTTAACTTCCAAGAAGTACGGCCCTTATTGATGAAGAGAAGAGAAGAGTATTTTTGCAAAAATCCACGCTTAAATTTCGAAAAGTGTTTTTGACTTCATTTCCAGTCTTCCCATAAGAATTAAATAAAGATTAAAAATAAAAATGCCAAATTTACTAGAAATTAGGGGAGAAATTCAATTTTTTTTTTTTTTTTTTTTTAAGGGACTTAAAATTTTAGTTCCATTTTTTTGACAAAAGGAATTTAGTAAGCGACATTAAAAAAGTCCGTATTTTTTTTTTTTAACGGAGAAATGCACCCAGTTTAAAATTTTTTTATGGCAAAAAGAAAATATTTTTAAAATAAGATATACTTTAGCATCGTAGCTAGCTATAGTATGAATTTATTTAAATTTAAGGGATTTTTTTTTTGGCACAACACTAGATTCTATCTTCGAGTGGTTAATAATGAATGTATTTGAAACTAAATGTGAAAGCTTTTTGTTGTTGACATCGTGCAGTGTCTAGTGGACACAAATTAGGGAGGGCTTGGAGGAACACACGGTCAAAACTCAAAATAAAAATAAAACCTTTCCATTAAAAAAGAGTAAATAAGCCAAAGTCAGAGTGTGTTGTTGGAATGTAGGCGTTAAGATACCGTTGTATATCAAGTGCTACAAAGGAGACAAAAAAAAAAAAAAAAAAAAAAATAGGTGCCGACCTCAGAGATCTCACTTGACAAAAGAAAACACACTTTCAGCCCCATGGTGAATGTGGATTACCTTGCTTGAAAGGAAACAGCAACACTAACAGACTGTTGTCAAACAAATGTATTCATCTCAGATTTAATCCGTTTAAATTAAGATGTTAACATAAGCGGAGTGCTGTTAAGATTAAAAGTCACATTTGAAATGTAGTAAAACTGTAAAAAAATTTGATACAGAGGCGCTGATGTCAAATATTGCGTGAAAATAGACAAGTAAGGAAAGAAAGGTGATTGTGCTTTGTTTGTTTTAGTTATGTTGTTAAAAATAAAATATTTTTTTAAATCATAGAGAAAAAATCCTAAGTAAACAATAATAATGGAAAGTTATTTTAAATAATAAAGAAAATATTGGTTCATTATACTCACAGTAAAAAGAAAAACTGTTCTTGTTAGTACAACGAAGGAGACCACCTATGCAAACCAGACACACTGACAAGAAACCGCACCAGTGAAAAGCTGTTATCACCTTCCCTGGTTTTATTCACTTTCCTCCTCCTCTTCCTCCTATACATTCGTCCAACAACTTCCTTCTTTCGTTCCAGTTCCACGTTTGAAATTTTATATTTACTAAGCTTAGCGTAGTCTGGCACAAGACCAAATTAAAAGAGCAGAAATTGTATTATTACAGTACACTTAAGCTAGGCTTGCCAGAAAAAATCAGCATTCGAAATTCTTTTTTCTTTGACTCGAACACTGTCCACTTGCTCCAGTAACAAATACGCCACAACTCCCTCAACCATTCAACCTACGTTTAAAAAGCTTAGGTTAGTAAAAATCACAAAGACAGATTTAGGGGAATGCAACAAAGAAAATTATGTTGCGCCAAATTTTAATGTGGAGCGAGCTGGGGAAATTAGAAATCTGTTTTTTAAAGTTGCTACAAAACAGCCCTTTGGCATCACAGGAAAATAAATTAAAAAAAAAAGATCTATGCTACCCGTGGGTAGGGTTTCGTCTGCCTTAAAAAGATAGCTTTTTAAAACATCACCCTAAGCACTGATAGAAAATAGGATAAAAATCACGTTGAACCAGACCTGTTGTCAGGGGTGGTACTCCAGCTCCCAGGAAAAAAAAAACAAAAAAAAAACACCCTCTTCCCACTGAAGTGACGTTAACTAATTTTAGTGTGCAAATTTTTACTCGTCCCCGTTCCTAGACTTAAAGGGCGCCGCCCCATTCAAAACTTTGATGACGAGCCTCTTGCTAGGTATTAAGTTAACCCTGCATAATGGTTTTGAGTTGTGCATTTTCTATTCATTTGAGAGGTCAGCATTTTTTCACTCTGTTCGAAATATTGTCACTAAAATGTAAAATTCATTGTCGGACTTAATTTATCATAAATAGAATTAATAAAAAAAAATTAAAAGAACTCCTTTTTTTAACTGCGGAGAAATAAAAAGCTGACCAAGAAATATATTATAGAAAATTTCAACGTTCGGAGATACCATCAAAATAAAAAAGGATGCTTTTTTTCCTAAATGAAAGCAAAAAAAAAAAAAAAAAATCGCTATCCCCGTTTTAAAATATTTACCAAACATCGGAGGATTAAATTTTTCATCTTATTCATTAATGAGTGAATTATAGGTCATTTTATTTGGAAACTTTGTAGAAATATTTTTTTGTGTGGTTTGTTTCACCCCACTCCTTTCGACATCTTGTATGTACTTTTTAATTTGGTGGGGTATTCGTCAACTTTTTTTTTTTTTTTTTTTTTACAGTTTTATAAAGAAAATCCATGAAAATGTTATTTCAATAAATTATTTGCAACGTCATACAGAAAACGCCTACCGAATCTTGCCAAAGATAATTCAATAAAAATAAAACTCAAAAAAATACATTTTTCTGGCAGTTGGTGCTTGCATAATTTAATAAAACGCGTTATTTTCTTTATGATTGGACAGAAAAAAATCTACACTCAATTATTTATTGAAAAAAATACTTGTAATTTTTCAGTGCGATTTTGAAATTCATTCTGTGCTGTTCCGTAAGAAGAATTTTTTTTTATAAAATAGAAACATGATTTAAAGTTTAATGCCATTTTTTAGTGTGAACCGTTTTTAAAAGAATTTTAATGTTTTATTTTATTTTAGCAGCAGTTACATTATTTTTGTATGGATGTTCAAAAGGAAATAATAATTAATTACCGCCTTTGACTACTTTTCAACTATTGACAGAATATGATATATGATAATTCAATAACTCTTAAATTCAGAATAATAATAAAAAAACACATTGTGCCCATTAGATATTTTTTGACATCAAACATGTATGTAAATAATTAAAAAATAAATAAAAGCAATGTATAAAAATAAAAAAAAGTATTATTTAACTAAAAAATACTTAGTATGAAAAATAAAATTATTCATTCTACTATGTTTTATAAAAGAGTATAGAATGAAAAATTATATTCTTAAGCTATTGGTTATATAAGATTAAAGACTAATTTATTTTAAACATAAATACGGTTGATTTGTGTCTCTTTACTGCTGTAAGTCTTCTGCCAACTTGAATGAATGTTTGGTTTTTATGGACTCGTGTAGGCTCCAGAAGCCTATGTTTATTAACATACTTTTCACTTCTGCTTACTTTGTAGAATTTTAGCTTAAGCAATTGTTATCATTTTATAAGTCTAGCTTAGTTTGGCCCAAGGTCACTAATATGGAGCGCTTCGTGAGGGTTGAACTCACTATTCATAATAAATGACCAATCAAGATTTCTCGTTAACCATGCCGTGATGTATTTTTTTTGTTTCAACAGTCGCTTAATTGTTGTTTCTTTAATTCCCTTTTTTCACAAATATATATTTAAAAAATATACTTGTCCCTTTAGTCCATTGAAAGAAAATCCCATTTGAAACTTTTGCCAACATTTTATAAGAGAATTCTTAAATGTCCCCTTGACAAATTGAACTGACATTTAAAAAAGATTTTTAATTCTTTGTAACTCATTAGCATTTTTCTTTGTCCTAATTTTGACTATAAATCTTTTTTTTTCTTAATTTCCATTAACTGTTTGTATAATTTTCTGAATTGTTATATTTTTACCCAAGGAAAAATATTATGTTACAAACGTCCCTTAAAGATTAATATACAATGGGCCGCTCCTTAAATAATTCCTGTGTCTTATTATTTGATAATGTCCCCAATGTTCAAAAGTAGTAGCGAGGCTCTAATAATGTCGATAATAAGAAGCCATCGAGTATTGGGTCGGATTTTTAGACTTTAGTGCCGGATTTACATACACGGTAATATGGGCTGCAGACTAGAGGGGTCCCCAAGGCTATGACTACAGAAAAAATATCGAAAGTGTTGTCAGGTAAAAAAAACAGACTGTGGAGTGAAACAAGGGATAAGTAAATGTTTCGGATATTTATGTTACAAGGGGTATCACGGTTTGTTAGAAAAAGTATCAAACGAAAAGACAACAGGAAAGAAGAAAATAAATTATACAATGGAAATATAAGAATTCGAGGTCTTAAGTGACACTCAATTCTATGGAAGTTTTGAAAGTCAAGCAAAATAACTTCCCTTCAGAACACTTTCTCTCTCTCTCTCTCTCCCTTTCTCTCTCTCTCTCTTTCTTTCTTTCTTTCTTTCTTTCTTTCTTTCCCAAAACTTATAACTTAAAGCAATAACTTATAAGCAATTTTATTCTACTATGTTGAAAATTTGTCAGATTTTGTTATTAATATTTAACTTAGCTTAACTTAAATACAATACAATGCTAAATGGAAGAAGGAAGATTGTATTGCGCCAGACTTTTATCGTCAGAATTCATCTTGCACACTTATAAATAAACAAGTTGTCTGTGCATTGAATATTGCTGCCGTATCTAGTTTGATGCCCCTATTATGTATCTCCAGATTTTTGACAAAATTTAAAGAATAGTCTGAAATATAATCGATCCTGAATTGGCATCTCGACTTCAGTCACTTTCTCACCGACGTGAGATGTGGCTTCTCTCTGTCGTTTCTACAAATATTTTCATGGCAACTCTTTGGATGTTTGTTTCTTTTTTCCTTAGTACCTCACCTGCATGAATTTAAACGTGCAACTAGATTGGCAACTAGGTCTCACCGTTTTACTATTGAACTAGCTAGATGCAATCGTCTGTTCTATTCTAACAGTTTATTTTCTCGCTTGTGGAACTTCCTTCCGATTTCTTGCTTCCCTGATAACTATAATCTTTAAAAATTTAAATATAACGTCAATCATCATCTTGTGTCTTCCTGAATCATGTTCATTCATTGTCCTTTCCTCATTTCTCCTCACTAAAGTTTTCTCGTTCGTTCTAGTGGTATTACCACTTTGGTTGGACGCTAATGATTAAAACAGTGTTGCGGTCGAGTTTGTTTGGAAATTAACATTCAAAATGTCAGTCTTTTTATTTATTTACTAGCAGCATGGCCCGGCGTTGCCCGTGCTTGATTCAAAAATCGTACAACTCATACAGCAATGGCTATCACTTGACTTAAAATATTTTTGCCCTTCCTTGCCTTTAAAGGAGTGCCCTTTGCCGTGCTGATGTTGCTACATGCCTTACTTCTCACACTGCGATTTTTTTCTAAGCTCTATACTAAACATTAAATCTGTTACGAAAAAAGAACTAAAAAAAATGAACACAAAACGATCAGCTTTAAAAAAGGACTCGTAACTGGAAAAACCGAATGAAAAAGAATGTTAACAACAAATACTTTTTCACACCCAACCCAGTTCTTCGGAATCAGAATCAACGTTAAGTTTAAGCAAGCGAATGAGCCAATTGGAGTAAATTGCCATGCAGATTTAAATTTTTCCCACTTGTGACGAATGCAGCTATCGATTTTTTTGGGATGCTAGCATGCTAGTTGACATTCGTGTCAGTCAGCTGTTGGCTCTCACGCTGGCCAATAGAATCTTTTTGTCTATTCGTGGCAGCCAGCTATAGGCTCTCACTCTGGCCAGTACAAAATAGCAGCAAACTACATGAAAACTGCCGTAGAAGCATGCAAAAATCGATTATTTCCACTATCGATGAGAGTTGGGAAATGCAATGTCGGTCTTGGCCTTCCCGCCAACTTAGAGCATGTGCATGTAAATTTTGGTGCAAATCCGTCGAAAATTGCGGCCGTGCATTCGTTACACACACACACACACACACACACACACACACACACACACATCCTGCCTTTTATAGATAGAGATTCATTCATTTACTTTATAGTAAGGCCTTATTTATTTATTTAACATAATGTAATAGTGCCTGCAGGAGCAGTTTCTAACGACAGTACGCAATTTCCAACCACAAAGCAGGCTAACCACCCATTTTGATAATCTTGATAGGCTTAAGTTGGTATGGCATAAAAGGAAGAAGAAAATGACGATATTGAATCTTTCTCGGGGAGATCCAGAACATTCGTCTAATCCCTGCAC